CAACAACACTGACATTAACAGCAACAACACTGACATTAACAGCACCAGTAACAACAACACTGACATTAACAACAGCAGCAGCAACAACACTGACATTAACAACAGCAGCAACAACAACACTGACATTAACAGCAACAACACTGACATTAACAGCACCAGTAACAACAACACTGACATTAACAACAGCAGCAACACTGACATTAACAACAGCAGCAACAACAACACTGACATTAACAACAGCAGCAGCAACACTGACATTAACAACAGCAGCAACAACAATACTGACATTAACAACAGCAGCAACACTGACATTAACAACAGCAGCAGCAACACTGACATTAACATACCCTGCGAGCAGAGGAATTTTTCCACTATCTACGAAAGGAGAAAAACACCTCTGCCACAGGACGGTTAGTTCTTGTGATGTTGCCGCCTCTAAAATCTTGGAGGTAAACCATGTGATCACTCCACGTGACTAAACCAGTCGTTTACCAGTTTTTTTCTGCTATGCCGTTTGTACTATCTGTTCAGTAGCTGCTGAATTTCTGAGTCTTCAAATATGTCAAAATGGCGAACATTACAGCGAACGAAAAGTACTTTTGAAATGTTTTACTCCATAACAACGGAAGTGTCATAAACTTTTAACGACCTGCGAACTTGACCAAGTAAAGCACATTATCCAGTTAGGGCCAATCACAGCGTTCTTCTTGACAGATGGTTCACAGCATTCTTGTGACCGAATGTTTTTTATTACAGAATCCGTATTTTAAAGCTCTAAAAATTTTAACTGAAAATTTGATTAAGCTGCAACAGGGAATGAATGTTTGTCAAATATTGTTGCCTTACTKACAACATCAAATTTATCCGTCTTGATGAAATGGTGTGTGTCAAAAGGTCATATTCGGATATTAATTTTATAAATAACAAACTTAGCATAATCGGGAACTTATTTTATCTATAAACAGAGGATTTTTCAAAGGATATTTTCTATTTTCTAATGAAAAAATTAGGTCAAACACACCATTGTTTAATAGTACTATAGCTGTGATAGTTTTCCGCGAACAAAAAACCCGTTATACGATAGACGCGATTTTGACAGAGCGTCAATCAATGTCATAGATAACATCCAATCATATCATCGTTCCATGCGCATGCTCAACAGGAAATTAACCGTCCCGTGGCAGAGGTATTTTTCCTTTCTTCGTAGAAGGAGTTGGAACAATCCTCTGTTCGCAGGGTAACATTAACAACACTGACATTAACAACAGCAACAACAACAACACTGACATTAACAACAGCAACAACAACAACACTGACATTAACAACAACAACACTGACATTAACAACAGCAGCAACACTGACATTAACAACAGCAGCAACTACAACACTGACATTAACAACAGCAGCAGCAACAACAACACTGACATTAACAACACTGACATTAACAACAGCAGCAGCACTGACATTAACAACAGCAACAACACTGACATTAACAGCACCAGTAACAACAACACTGACATTAACAGCAGTAGCAAATAGGATAAATACAATAAAATGGCTACCTTTCTCTTCTCCTTTGTCTTTATTCTCTGCAATAATTCTCTGTTGTTCTGATATGACTTTCTGGGCATGATCAAGCTGCTTGGTTTTGGACTTCAGATCTTCTAACATTTCTTCCTTAGTGGGACCCCCTAAGTCATTGTTAGGGCTTGGTTGAAGCTCTAAACAAGTACTTTAAATTATTAGCATCCTATTATTGTTCAAAGATCTGTAATACACTGCATACCTGTCCTTGGTGCAGTAGTGGCAGTCAGGGGGGTGCCATGTACATCTGCCCTTACACTGACCTGTGCTGCTGCCTTCTTACGATCTTCTTCAAGTAAAGCATCAGCCAGCTCCTCTGTTTTCAATGAAAAATAAATTAAAATACAAAAGTTACTGAGAAAACAGTTTTTTTAGTCTTATTAAAGGTGCTCAGTCAGTTGACATAGAAAAGTCAGTAGTACTAAAATCCAGTGGTCTTGTTTATGTCAAAAGATACCAAGTGATGTTTAAGTACTTATAGCAGCANAACAACAACAACACTGACATTAACAACAGCAACAACAACAACACTGACATTAACAACAACAACACTGACATTAACAACAGCAGCAACACTGACATTAACAACAGCAGCAACAACAACACTGACATTAACAACAGCAGCAGCAACAACACTGACATTAACAACAGTAGCAAATAGGATAAATACAATAAAATGGCTACCTTTCTCTTCTCCTTTGTCTTTATTCTCTGCAATAATTCTCTGTTGTTCTGATATGACTTTCTGGGCATGATCAAGCTGCTTGGTTTTGGACTTCAGATCTTCTAACATTTCTTCCTTAGTGGGACCCCCTAAGTCATTGTTAGGGCTTGGTTGAAGCTCTAAACAAGTACTTTAAATTATTAGCATCCTATTATTGTTCAAAGATCTGTAATACACTGCATACCTGTCCTTGGTGCAGKAGTGGCAGTCAGGGGGGTGCCATGTACATCTGCCCTTACAYTGACCTGTGCTGCTGCCTTCTTACGATCTTCTTCAAGTAAAGCATCAGCCAGCTCCTCTGTTTTCAATGAAAAATAAATTAAAATACAAAAGTTACTGAGAAAACAGTTTTTTTAGTCTTATTAAAGGTGCTCAGTCAGTTGACATAGAAAAGTCAGTAGTACTAAAATCCAGTGGTCTTGTTTATGTCAAAAGATACCAAGTGATGTTTAAGTACTTATAGCAGCAATGRTGACTCACCAAGTCCTAGATTAAGTTCATCTTCTTCATCATCTTCTTCATTAATGGTATTGCCATTGGTGTCTCGTACTGGTACCATGTCCAAGTCTTGTCCTGCAAAGGAATGAAAATCTTTTCATGGGGAGCTAAATTTAACCTTTAACATCATCTAAAAAATCTGAGACAGCTGCAGAGAGAGAGAGAGAGGATCACTCTATAGCATGAGCTCTCTTCCAAAATACAAACCTATCAATATATATCCATGGTGATAACCCAACTTTCCGATTTATAATTGATCGCTTTCAACCATTCCCATGAGATTCAAAAGATAAAAGACTGGCGGCMATGTTGGAGGAATGAACAATAGATACTAWTGAGAAATCCTTTGTTGAAGTTCCTCCAAGATGGCCGCTGTAACGCATATTGAAAACGAAGAATATGAATAATACAATGTAACTGGAGCATCTCTCACACATTACCTGGCCATACAGCATTACTGTACACTGTCTGTTATCAT